GTAGGGGCGAGGAATCGGATCCCCCGTCGGGTGCGGGTACAATTGACATCCCTAAATCAAAGGTGAATTTGTCCCATTGGTAAACAAAGTTATTAATTTTTATATCTTTTTCTTAAATTTATTAAGCAATTAGTCATTTAAAAATTAATTTAATATTTATTAATTTAGTAGTGGTATTTAATTAATTCAATTGTTAGTGATGAGTTTTATTGTGTATATTACATTATATTCTAAATGACATTTGAATACCATGCAAAGTGCACGATATAATTTTCCTGAGGTATTGAAAAAAAAAAAAACCTTGACACATGTTATTTTTAGTAAGTTCATTATATTTTGATATATATTTATTTTTAATATATTACAAATTAAAATAAATTTATAGTATACTAAAATTGAACTTATATAATATGCTAAAAATAAGTCTGTCAAAGTTCAATCTGGTTGTCGACCATAGTACAAGCATTGTACTTAACATCTACTTTTTTTTTCGTCATTTATTATTTATTTATTTGTCTTTGTTTTTCTTTAAATATATCATTTTTATTAACTTTATTTGAAAAAAAAAGATGAATAAAAAATAATGATTAAAAAATTATATATGATATCAAATAAATACAATGTAATATAAATTAAAATGAGTAGTTATTCTTTTATTTGTAATATCATGAAGGGTAATAAAAACAATTGTAGAAATACATTCAATTTTTAATTTAACATTTATTGTTATTCTATATAACTATTATATCTTCAATAGATAATAAAACTAAAATGAATTATTGTTGAAAGATTTCATAATAATTATTGTATCAAAAAAATTTATAACTTATAAATGAAAATGGAGGGGGTAATTTAATAAATAAATATTACTTAATTAATACATTAATTAAAAACTATTATAACAAGGACAAATTGGTTTTTAAACCAAAAAAGAAAAAAGAAAAAAAAAAAAACCACCCAATTGGTTTTCCTCTCAATTTCACAATTCAACATCTGATCTCAATCGTTCACGTTTTTATTTTTGTCTAAATGCATATGTTTCAATAATTTACGAATCACTTTACAATGAGTCCAATACTTTTATATCAACCCATATAAAAAGTGAGCATATTCCTCTCATATCAACTAAATTGAAAATAATGAGAAAAGAAAAAAAATACGCATGAGGGAAAAATGTATGGATTTCCTCCATGATAAAAAAGACATTGTAAAAGGTTTATATCAATCATTATTGCTTGGATCGTGGTTGTGTGGATCACAGTCTAAAAATATATAAAGTACATTATTTTAACTCATGAAATACATTATCTTACTTTAAAAATTTCATTATTCTAAACACATATAAATTAAAGCAATTGTTATATCGTGCACCAGTGCATACAATGCATTGTGCACCCTGGTGCACAATATAATTTGTCAAATTTAAATATAATATTTTAACACATCAAATACATTATTTTAACTCATAAAATACATTATCTAAACCCTAACAATATATAATTGGTTATGGAGCATTCAATTGTTTTGTATATATAGGAACAGCCCTGGTTGGGCTGCACGTGTGCCTCACATGGCATGTATAAGAAATTATGAATGGAACACAAATCCTTATCTAACATGACAACGCAACGCATTTTTTTTTTTTTCACCTGCCAATGTTATCCCTGTTGTTGTTGTTTTGTTTTGTTTTTTGTTTTATTTTATTTTGTTTTGTTTTTTTTTTCGAATTTGTTCGGCAACCAAAGATGATCATGATTTGGATTATTTCACGTACTCACTCTACTCTTTTGTTTTTTTTTTTTTTTTTTTTCCTTATTAATTATTTATTTCGTATATGTCCCCATCTGACATAGACGGAGACAGAAATTTTGTTGAGAGAGGGCGGAGAAGTAGGGACGGATCTATCAATTTTTTCGAGTGAAGGCGAAACATTAAAACAAAAGAGATAATTTTTTTTTAAAAAAATAAATTACCCAAGAAATATAGGTATAAATATTGTTGGATATGAGCAAAAAATAAAACACATCGAAATTTTATTAAAAATATTCATAACAAAATATGAAACATAATTAATTTGATAAAATGATTTGAATAGAGAACACATTATAAATTACACATCTCATTTTTAATGGGGGTGGGGGAGGGGGGCAGCTGCCCCCCTTTAGCTCCGTCCATGCCATCTGGGAGATTTAACAAATGAAAAATAAGTTACATACATTTTTATAATTATTTCAAACTTTGTTGGTGCACCTAAAAAAAACTTGTATAGGCGATTGTGGTGTCAATTGGACCTCTTGTGTCACTTGGATAGCGAATCAACCCTCACCAACCAGACCCATCCGACCTTGTTAGCTTAGGCGTGTCGTCATGTGGGTACATGGAACGTTCACTTTGCGACTCGCCTATTTTGATGTATCTCGAATTTGGTTGCGCAAAGGGAAATGGTAAATTGGGTAGAATCTAGGAATACGTACTTTTCTTTGTGATGTCCATAGACAGTGCTAATAATGGTTTTATGGGACTTGATTCCATCATAAACTAGGTATAAATATATAAAATGGGATGTAAGAAAGCTGTACGTATGTGTTCCTGTCTCTGTTGCGTGACCGCCGTTGTCTGTGCTGGAGCAACGGAGACGGCGATAAGGGCTGAGCACCGCCGTGACCGTCGCTGGGCTGAAGGCGAGCGGTGCTGTGGCCGCCACTAGGCTGAAGACGACGTCAACGGGGTCAGTGACAAGGGAGGCTGGCCTGACACAGCCGCTGTGCCGACACGAGCTATGCTGAAGGCGGCGACAAGCCTTGTGGTAAAGATGCGGGCGTGAAGCGAGAATTGAAGCATGAAGCTACGGGAAGCAGAGATTGAAGAGCTTGGTTGCGACCGGCATTGAAGAGCTTGGTTACGTCGTTGGAGAAGCTTGAAGCGGGAACTGAAGATTGAAGAATAACCCTAAATTCAACTATTAAACTATTAAAGAGAAAATTTCAATTTTGGTCCACTGACTATTGGAGTTGTGTTAATTGCAACACTTGACTTTCAAAAATGTTAATTTAGTACCTTGACTATGCAATTTTTATCAATTTTGGTCACGCCGACCAAATTACCAGCGAATTGTGACTGAAAAATTTTAACTCATCAATCAATCTTAAATAATAAGGGCAAAACGGTCATTTCATGTTATGTTATATATAAACAATTTATTTGTGACCATTACCGGCAAAAAACTCCATTGAAGACCAAAGAAGATGATGCTGGAACAATGATGAAGAAAGAACCCAGCAAATTCAAGAATTTCAAGAGAAATTCGAGAATATTGAATGGAAAATGCCGTGAAATAAAGTCACCAAGATTAATTTTGACAATGTTAATTCAATTGCTTGTGACCATTGCCGCCGTTGTTGGCCTCCAACAGGTCGCCCACGGCGCAACTACAAGAGCTCGGCAACTGAGGCCGTTTGTGAAGCTCTGCATCTGAGGCCGGAGGAGATCGCTGTCACTGGTTCATAGCTCGCCGACGAAGAAGGTTCAAGGTCGCCGCTGGTATGAAAATGGTGGTGCTGTTGTACAGGAGAATGACGTTGTTACTGACCCTCGAACTACTTCGCCGGAAAAATAGGGGAAGGGGAGAGAAAGCTCGCCAGCTACCAAGCTTCAATTTGCCGGAAATGCTCAGTTTGCTGGAGGAGGTCGCTGGTTCATAGCTCGCGAAGTAGAAGGTTCAAGGTCGCCGGAGGAGGAAAGGTGGGTGTAATTTTGGAAGGAACAAGAAAAGATGATTTTGCCCCTTCAAATTTAGTTCAAATGTTGACTTAAGATTTTCGGTCACAGTTCGCCGGTAATTTGACCGGCGTGATCAAAATTGACCAAAATTGATGAACTCATCAGCGCAAGGGGGCAGTTGGCAAACTCTCTCCAAGACCCGTTCATGGACACGCCCAATGAAGCTAAGGCATGAATGATAGTCTGCGTGCTTCCTGGTCACGCGAAGGAAACCACTAGTTTTTCCCCGGGCCCCCCCTCCATCTTGATCTAAAAAAAAAAAGTACTAAATTAACATTTTTGAAAGTCAAGTGTTGCAATTAACACAACTCCAATAGTCAGTGGACCAAAATTGAAATTTTCTCACTATTAAACTATATACTATAAAAATAAAAATAAGAATTTTAAATAAAACAATAAGATATATAGGGCGGTTATATGTATAACCGCCGTATACTCTAAATAATTAAATTTTTTTTTAAAAAAAAAAACTAAACATATATACGGCGATTGTTTAAAAACCGCCGTCTATTAAGTGACGTAAGTATATAATAGAATGTGATTATTTAACAACTGTCGTCTATAAAGTGACGTAGTATATAATAGAAGACGGTTGTTAAATAACCGCCGTCTATTAAGTGACGTAGTATATAATAGAAGGCGGTTGTTAAACAACCGCCATCTATTAAGTGATGTGGTATATAATAGAAGGCGGTTGTTTAACAATCGCCGTCTATTAAGTGACGTGGTATATAATAGAAGACGGTTATTTAAAAAATCGCCGTCAATTATCTCTTATTATAATAAAGCAACAACTTTCTACCCAAAAAAATTCCCGCTCAATGCAAACGACGTCACTTTGTATATAAGAGATTAAGGTCGAAACTAAATGCTGTTAACTAATGCTTAACGCGTGATCATTAATTATGCCGCCTACTTTTTTGTTAATATCAACCACAATAAAGCAATTTTAATAGAATTTAAATAGAATTCTATTAATTACATACTTCTAAAGAGACTGTTTAGATTAAACACTACTTCGAAAATATACATATCAAATCTAGATAAAATCAATATAAATACAATTATAATAAAGAAACTCAATGATCTAATGTTTGATCCCCATGCGTTTGGAAACTGTAAGGTCGCCCGCTTACATTCATAGTTCCAAGACACATCATAGATTTTGAATTGCAGTTCTCCATTCTATATAAACCGATCACTATGGAGACCTCCACTACCTATTCCACATTTGCTTCAGTTCGTATCACCTGTGAACCAGAGAAAAAGAAACAAATTATTTGCAAGATAAGCATGCCAATGTATGTAGCTGTGAAGGATATTGGTCCTCTTGATAGGGAGAAAGCAATCAGAGTAAAATGTGTGCGGTGTTACGAAATCTATGAAAAAGGCTCTACAGAGATTAAGAGTCGAGAAGTTTTGTTGTGTGATGCAGAGGTATGATCTTCCCTTTTTGATATTGTATTCTTCTGTTCACTGTAGATAGATATACCGCCACGTATTTACATGTCTCTAGCAATAATGGATTTCCTTATGGTAGGTTTTTGTTCTATTATTCAAAGCTTGTGTTGATTTTTAATGCCTTTGCTCTACTCAGTTATATGCTCTAGATTAATACATGCACTATAAACAGATTTATAGTCTCTTTTACAGAGATTTATTTTTCACCAAAATCTAGAGTATATACTGTTTTTTATCTAGACTGCTTAAGGTTATTCTTACTTTAAATCTAGAGTCTATACAGTTTTTTTGTCTACACTGTTTAAGGTTAATCTTATGCTAATGTTGCAGGCCTCTTTCATCCATTTGAACCTCCAAAGTAATGATGTCAAAAAATACAACAATGTTTTCCAAGAAGGGAAGCTGTATTCAGTCAAAAATTTTGTTGTTTTCACCCATTATTATATGTACAAAACTTGTGATCACAAATATATGATCAGGCTAAACTCTAAGACTCAGGTAAAGGCCATAAAATCCAAAGGTTTCCCTACTAAGATGTTCCAGCTTAAAAGTTTTGACTCTTTGAAAGACCCTACTCAGGTGAATGACAAGGTGTTGTTTGGTAAGTAAGCTGTTTTTAATTTTGCTCATTTTGTCTACTGTGTAATATGTTTCTACTTCAAGACTTTTTGAATTCTACTCATGTTGTATACTGTCTAAGCTGTTTTTATTTCAAAAAGTTTTATTCTTCTATATTTGTGATGAAATAGATTTAATAGGCAGAGTTGTAGAGATCCATGCTCCTGTAGACAAAATAATAGGGGGTAGACCAGCCAAACTCCTAGACTTCAAAATGGCTGATAATGAGTAAGTTTCAATTTAAAAAATTGGTACCTATATTTCCAGAGATTATATTTTGTCTAACACACTTTGCTATAGGGGTAATTTCTTGCAGTGCACTGTGTGGGACTCTCATGTTGGTGCCATGCTACCATACTATGATTCAGGTCTTAAAGAACCATTAATTCTGGTTCTTCAGCTATGTCGGGCAAAGGTGGTCAATGGTAAGTTAATATACAGTATTATTCTTTCATTTATTTATATATTTCCATAGTTCATTGCCATCTAACATGCAAAATTAGGTGAAGTCAGAATAACTAGCTGCTATGATGCTACCCAACTCCATTTCAATGCATCTTTCCAAGAATTTGCTGATTTTAGGTCTCAGTAAGTGCCTGGATTTTTTTCCTAAATTATACATTTTATCAACTATTCTACTACACATGAATAAAAATTTGTGTTCACCTGTAGGTTAAATGCTTCAACCAGTCCTTTACGAAGTATAAGTACTGCAACAGTGCTGTCCCAATCCACATGCATTGATGATTTTACAAGTGGTGCCTTGACTGTAACTACAGTCAAGGAGCTATTGAAAAAGACAAAGGTTAGTCCCTATTTGTAATCAATGTAGTCTGTATAGATTTAATAACATATATTACATTACATAAGAAATAGTAACAAAGGAATCTATATACAATTGCAGAATGGTGAATTTTATGTACCTGCTGAAATTGTTGCAATTGACGGTTCTTTTGGATGGATGTACATATCTTGCATGTCCCCGGGATGTAACAGGAAACTTTTTAATGATGGGACTGATCTTGAATGTACAAGTTGTGATAAGAAATACAAACAGGGTATGGCCAGGTATCGTGTAAGAGTGATTGTCCTAGATAAAGGTCTTGGAGACGCTCCGTTCCTATTATGGGATAGGGAGTGTTCTGAATTGGTTGGTATCCCGGCACATATTCTGTACACAAAGTATAATAAGGTAAAAAACTGTCGCTTAATTGACACATCCATATAGACCTTTTTTTAGTTTCTTTTTTAATATTATATTTTCTTAATGTTAGGTTTGTGACATCCCAAAAGAGTTGGAATCATTAGTCGGAATGAGAATGGTATTCAAGATATCATTAAAATTGGAGTACATGAAGGGATCTAATGCAGCATACACTGTTATGAAAGTTCTAAGGGATGAAGCCTTGGTGTCAGCATACTGTTCTAAACTCATTGAAGAACAAGACAAGGACTTGATATCAAGAATGATAGATGAGGACGAGGAGGAAGAAGATGAGTCTGATCAGGTTTTGTTTTCTATTCTACTAAAGTCAAATAACTAATCTCATTTCTTAACTTACTTTGACATATTTTACATTTAAGCTTATTTTAATATACAGGAAGCTTCAAATGGAGGGAATGAGGTCAACAGCCCATTACCTATGCAACAGTCTCAAAGCCTAGACCATGAAACGTTAGAGGCTAATGGTGTTAAGCGATCTCTTATGGACCAATTCTCCTCCTCTTGCAAGAAGGGCAAAACAGTTGCTGTTAAGCAAGAGAAGATTTAAGAGATCCTTTAAATGACAAACTGTTACCACATTTTTGTGGTTGTTCCTATTTTGAAGACAAACATTTGGCCAGTTTAATTGCACCAGTGTGCCCTAAACAATTTACTTTTAATTTGAATCTATGTTTGGACTGTTTGGAACTGTTATATTTACCTATACCTAGGACTTATCCTAAACACTTCTAATTATCTGTTTATTACCCTATACTGTTCTATATATTAAACTGTATGCAGGACAAGTAACCAAGGAAGAAAACACAAGTCACCAAGAAGAAAACACAAGTCACCAAGGAAGAAAGCACAAGTCACCAAGGAAGAAAACACAAGTCACCAAGGAAGAAAACACAAGTCACCAAGGAAGAAAACTGTAGACAACAAGGCAGAAAACACAAGTCACCCAAACACTCATGTAATTTAATTAGGGTTCTATGTAGTGTAATTAGGACTCTATGTAATGTAATTAGGACTGTATGTAATTACAATGCTAAATATGCAGATTTAGCTTTCAATATTGACAATCAGTTATAAAAAAGAGCCCTGCAAGCACTGTTAGTATATCAAGCAGTCATTTAGGCATCAAAAAAGTATAAGCAAACAGTCTTAAATTATGGGAGTATTCTGCATCTTTAAATAAAGATTGTTGTTAAAACACCCATGTCTATTTTAAAACACTTAAAAAATGTGGTAAAACACTTAGGACATTTTGTTAACACAGTAACACCTCACATAGATAATAAAACACTTCCTGACTTAAAGACCACAATTAAGCTGCTATGATAATAACAGATTTTCATAAAAAACATCATTTGACATACTCTAATTCAAAATGGACTAATTTGAACTGTGTGCACAATTTTGGTGATAAAAGTTCCACATATATAGGTTAAGTTCAAATTGTGCACTGGAAATTTGTATGCAGTGGAGTTTTGAAAATACAGTAACCAAAAATAAATGATTTTTTAAGAATAATGTGGTAAGTATAATTTAGTTTACATTATTGTAACTACATTTAAAATAGAACTATGTTTAATCTACAAATTAGAGGTGAATTAAAGAAAAAAAATATTCATGTGTATTGAAAAATCATAAACAGGGATATTTAAAATTTGGTTGAGACTGAGGAATTGCTTACATTAAAAAATGAAACTGCTGCTGTAAAAGTACATAATTACGTATAATGCCTATTTATAATGAACCCTAAATACACCATGTAGGAATAAAATTGTTTGCAATACACTACATATGTAATTGAATATTGAATAAATTACTCTATTTTAAACTTAGAACACAAAAGCTAAGTTTAAGGACAAAGAACTACTCATGTTTCGATCAGTAATCACCAATCATGTTCAGGTAATTCTCCTCAACCAATTCAAAAAATTTGTAAACAATTCGATGAAAAATGTAACTTCATCAATTGTGAACACATAAAAACAAAAATTCTGTCACAAAATAGAATAAACAAATAACAAATAAAACAAACTTAGTCCTAAAAAAATGATGCTTGGATGAAACATTGGCAGAGAATATGGATGAAACAAATAGCCCTTTATTTACTATACTCTTTAATCCTGTAAGTTGTTACCACATTGGCAGAGAATAAACGAAATGGCTATTTGTTAAACTAAGAGCCATGTAAAGTTTATAGACTGAAAAGCCACTAAGTTGTAGTTGAAATGGATTGGCATCAGAAGTGTTAATTCATCATTTGCCACACACTTAAAAAAACTGTTAGTCACAATTTATATAGAAAAATAAACACAAACTTAAAGCCAGGGGAACATGTATATTAAATTCTATAAAAACTACTTTCATTTGTTGGTTTCCAATAAAAAATGAAGAGTCATATCATTGCTTTTAATCATTCCTATTAAAGTGCAATCTTAAAGGCAATAAACCATATAACACCATAACCTATTTGAATCCAAGTATTTGTATTGGAAACCAAATACCAACAACCGAGTGGAACATACAAAATATCAACTCAAACATGAGGAAAATAGTGAAGTCTACAATAATTGGAAGCAAAAGGAAGCACATGATCGACAATAAAGGTACCATAAACACATATTCAAACTGTAGTTTATACTTTACTTGACTGTCTCAGTTAATTGCATAAATATCCCTGTTTTTTACCAAATCTTAGAGATTCAAGAATGCTTAGCTTCCAACCTTTGTAGTTTAGATATACAAAGAAAACCTGCAAATCTGCCATTTCAGCAGCGCAATGTTGTTAGTATATAATCTGAAACACATACTTGGTAGCAAATAATCCACTAAATCACTTATCTTTCATTGGATTGCGAAAAAATATACTGTAATTTCCATCTATGTCCATGAACTGTGTACGGTGTCTATAGTGTTCTATATCTACAATTACCAAACAAAATTAGCTTTAATCTATAATCAAATACGAAATAAATTAGGGTGTTAAAGCTTACAGACCTTAGATCGGATATAGTGGAATAGGTATGCCGTGAAGATCTAGATCATCGATCACCGTTGTAACCTTCAAAAAACTGCCATCCGACTATAAAAACGCAGATCGGAGAATACTACCATAGATCCTCTCACAACCACACCGCGGATCTGTAATTTGTGTTTCATTACTGTGGGTAATCTACTCTTAGCTTAGATGAACAGTTCCAGTCATTTTGAGATCTTCTACGAATTAACGAAGATCTACAAACTGGAATGGCAGACTCTTGGCTTGGAGTATCGGAATTGCGGTGGGTTTGTCTGAACATTGTGAGAGATAAGGGTGGGTAGTGTTCTCTAGATGCTAGCTCTAAGAAGGTTGCGGAGATGAGGGTTCAAGAAATGCCACCTAAGTGTAGAATACCCGATTTGGAAGTGAAGTTATGCAAACATATAGTGGGCCGGGTTTGGGCTTTTAATTTCTAATTGTTAAAATAAGCCTGGTATGATCTGTTGTGGTAGAATGGGCTTTTATTTTTTGGATAGCAATGGGCTTGGTCTGAAATAGTTAGAAGTTAAGGTATGCAAAAATTATTTTCCATGTTTAGTTTGTGGGTAGTGGTCCACAATATTGTGTGAACCATTGGTCCATGATGGTCTATTTTAAATTTGTGCACAATATGTTCAATTTTTTGTTATTTCTGTACTTAAGTTATATTATTTTTGGACATTATAATAAGAGATACTTTATTATGTCCCTTGAATCTTTTTAATGCAGAAAATGATGAGAATTCGCCTGTTATAAGCACTCACAACCGTATGGTGAAAAAAACTGCCACAAATTTAGCCACAAACTTAACACCACAACAAACAGGTACTTCAAATGCGACACCAAGAAGTTGTCTAACAACAGGTAAACGCTTTACACTTCTTGGATTTATATATCTGTATATCCTTCGGTATAATACACTATATAGAAATGTTTGTTGAACCTCCGAATTATTTTGTTGCAGTTAATCAAGATAATTTTAATATATGTATGAGTAGTTGTCACATGGAGTATACAAAAGCTAATAGCAACTCCAGACATTTTGTATTAGGCGGCAAATCTCCATATTTATCAAGTACAACAACACCTACATTGACCGGTTAGTTAATCTTGTGCATATAAATTGTATGTTATTTGTTTGGTATCAAAACTCTATTATTGACAAAACGATATACATTTAATTTGTCATAAAAGGTACAGTAACTAGGTCGGAGGTCAGACGGTCACCTCTACAGGATGTATCAAACGGTATGTATTTTCCCGTTTGTTTTAACTTTGTAATGTTAATTTTTAGGTGGCAGGACTCTAACTTATACTTTAAATAAGTTAGGTACAAGACAATGCAACAAGAGGCCATTCATGAATGATGGAAAAGACCATAGTCAAGATAATGAGGTCAATCGCGATTTGTTTCAAGATTTTGAAGAAGTATGCACTACTAATCGCATAACTCCGGTGAAAAAAACAAGCAATTCCTACAAAATATTAGAACATACAATAGCATGTTTTGCTTCACGTCCATGGGTGGTAAGATAGATCGGGGCGTGAACAAGAACGGTGGTCCACCTGTTTTCCGGATCAATGGCCAGAACTTCCATTACATTGGTAGTCTCCTGCCGGTAGACGGGAAAAGACCACATTTTGCACAGTTGTATATATATGATACTAATAATGAACTGAGTAATCGTATCAATTCTGTGAGGTACGTCCCTGTTATTTACTTCTAAATATAAGTTCTACAATATTTGTATCCAAATGAGTTTTTAGCAACTTCTAATCTTTTTTGTCGTATGCTAGGCAAGATGGTGACCAAAATGGCATCCATGTTGAGATTGTGAATGATATCCAACAAGTTTTGGGTACCAGTAATGTATTAGTCAAGTCATTCCACATGGCACGATCTGAGCTGCAAAAGAATCCGCTTGCTGAGGTAAAAATTAAATTGCTAGGGAAGAGGTCAAAGGATGCAAGAACATACAATTTGCCGTAGGTTTCGGAAGTTGCAGCCTTAATTGTGGGTGACATTGATACAAATATTGGAGAACGTGACATTATGGTCGAAACCAAGAGCGGCCTATTGCAACGAATTAGTGAGTTGAATCCAGCATACCTCCCAATGCAATACCCTTTACTCTTTCCGTATGGTGAGGACGGATACAGGGAAGACATTCCCTTCTCTACATTAAAAGGAAACACAAGTGCTGGCCGTCAAAGGATAAGTCCTCGAGAATATTTTGCATACCGTATACAGTCAAGGTTATCTGAGGTATCTACTTTATTGCATTCAAAGAGGTTATTCCAACAATTTTTGGTAGATGCCTATACAATGGTTGAGTCAGGAAGGTTAATCTATATAAGGACACACCAAAAAAGTTTGAGGTGTGAATCGTATAATTGCTTGAATGATACATTAACACGCGGTGAAGTTGACCCCACTACTCAAGGAAAGAGGATAATATTGCCTTCAAGTTTTACAGGGGGTGCTAGATACATGATTCAAAATTATCAGGACGCTATGGCTATATGTAGATTGGTTGGATATCCAGATCTGTTTATCACATTCACCTGCAACCCCAAGTGGCCCGAGGTACAACGCTTCTTGAAGGATCGAAAGTTAAAAGCTGAAGATCGTCCTGACATAATATGTAGATTATTCAAAATGAAATTGGATGCTCTAATCTCAGATTTTCGGAAGAACAAGTTATTTGGGCCAGTGATGGGAGGTACGTAAATTACATGCCACTATTTAATTAAAACAGTTCATATAGATAAATGTTAGAATTTTTTTGCCATTCGTAATGTTTCTTTTTTTTTTTTTACCAGTTATATATACCATAGAGTTTCAAAAAAGAGGTTTGCCGCATGCTCATATCCTGTTGTTTCTTGATAAAGTCAATGGACATCATAATGTTGACAATTTGGACAACATTATTTCCGCTGAGCTGCCTGATCAAGAAGCTGACGCAGAATACTTCAAAGCAGTTGAGGAGTTTATGATGCATGGACCTTGTGGGAAAGCCAGATTCAGATCTCCCTGTATGGCAAATGGTAAATGTACTAAACATTTTCCCAAAAAGTTTGTTAATTGCTCAACTTTTGATGAGGATGGCTATCCTATATATCGGAGAAGAGACAATGGTCGTTCTGTGACGCGCAATGGGATTGACTTGGATAATAGGTACGTGGTACCACACAATAGACATTTGTTGTTAAAGTATAGGGCTCATATTAATGTTGAATGGTGTAATCAGTCCCGTTCAATCAAATACCTATTCAAGTACGTGAACAAGGGTCATGACAGGGTAACAGCAGAGTTTTACAGAACCAGCAATGATCAAGATGGTGCACAAGTTCTGGATGAAATTAGTATGTACTATGATTGTAGGTACATATCTCCGTGTGAAGCATCGTGGCGGTTGTTCGGTTTTGATATACAGTTTAGGACACCATCAGTGGAACGATTAAGCTTTCACTTGCCGAACCAACAAAGTGTTGTTTTCGCAGATGATGACCCCGTTGATAACATACTCAGTCGGCCAACAATCTTGCAAAGCATGTTCCTAGAATGGTTCGAGGCAAATAAAAACTTCCCAGAAGCAAGAAAGTTGACATATGCTGAAATGCCAACAAAGTTTGTGTGGAAGAAAGATATTCGAAAATGGCAGCCTAGAAAAAGAGGATTCTCTATCGGTAGAGTTTTCTATGTGCCTCCTGGATCAGGGGAAATCTTTTATTTAAGGTGTCTGTTGAATAAGGTCAAAGGTCCGACAAGTTATTTAGATATAAAAACAGTGGATGGTGTCCAATATGATTCTTTTAGGGATGCGTGTTGTGCAAGAGGATTAGTAGATGCTGACAGGGAGTATGTTTATGCTATAGAAGAAGCAAGTCATTGGGCCACAGCTGTGAATCTTAGAAGATTATTTGTCACTCTCTTGATGACTAACTCAATAGCAAAACCAGAGGTGGTTTGGGAGGCTGCGTGGATTCATTTGTCAGATGATGCACAATTCAAGATTAGAGAACAATTGGGAAAGCCAGGTATTAAATTATTCAATTCTTACTCTTATAGTTCTATTTTACAACAAAAGTTTTACACGTAGTGTAAATAATATTGTCCCAGATTGGATTATATCTGAAGATGAGAAGAAGAATTTTGCACTTACGGAGATTGAAATAATGCTTTCAGCTATGGGAAAAAGTTTGAAAGACTTTCCGGGGATGCCGATAGCCGATGTAGTTAATCACTGCAGAACAATCAATCGGTTGATACAGGAGGAATTGGCATATGATGCTACTGCAATGAAGGAAGAGAATGATGCTTTGGTGGATAAACTAACTGAAGAGCAAAGAACAATATATGACAATGTTTTGAAAGATGCTGAGAATAATCTTGGAGGACTATTTTTTGTTTATGGATATGGGGGAACGGGTAAAACATTCTTGTGGAGAGCATTATCTTCTGCTATAAGGTCAAAGGGTGAGATAGTACTGAATGTTGCATCAAGTGGCATAGCTTCCCTTCTATTACCAGGTGGTAGGACTGCACATTCAAGGTTTGCCATTCCGATCGCTGTTAATGAAGATTCAACCTGCAATATCAGCCAAAACAGTCCTTTGGCACACTTGATCGTGCAAAGCAGGTTGATCATTTGGGATGAGGCTCCAATGATGCATAAATTCTGTTTTGAAGCGTTGGACCGATCTATGAGAGATATAATGCGTGTCAAAAATCATAACAGCTTCGATATGCCTTTTGGTGGAAAAACAGTGGTGTTAGGTGGAGATTTCAGACAAATTCTACCAGTCATTCCAAAGGGCACCAGACAAGATATTGTGCGAGCAACTATAAATTCATCCTATCTTTGGAGAAGCTGTAAAGTTTTTAGGTTAACAAAAAATCTAAGGCTTAGATCTTTGAGATCAGATAGTGAAGTTCAAGAGATTGCTGATTTTGCAAAGTGGATTGCTAATATAGGTGATGGAACCATTGGTGATTCAATGGATGGAGAATCTGAGATACAGATTCCCGATCAATTTTTGCTCAGTTGTGGAGAGGATCCTATTGCTACAATTGTTGATAGCACTTTCCCTATGTTTCGCAGTGGCCACAGAGATAATGAGTACCTAAAAGATCGTGCCATACTTGCACCTACTTTGGATGTTGTAGATACAGTCAACGAATACATGAATGACTATAACAATGCTGAAGGAAGGACCTATATCAGTTGTGACTCCGTATGCAAATCTGATTCTAATGTTGACATGCTGGCGGACCTGCACACACCGGAGTTTTTAAATGGATTACGATGTTCGGGAGTTCCAAATCACTCATTGACTCTCAAAGTTGGCTCGCCAGTGATGCTGTTAAGAAATATTGATCACTCACTGGGGTTGTGCAATGGGACAAGGATGATTATTTCAAAGTTAGCAGATCATGTTTTAGAAGCTAAAATACTCTCCGGATCAAGTGCTGGTACGAAGGTCTTAATTCCAAGGATGTCCTTAACACCTTCGGATCCAAGATTGCCTTTTAAATTCCAAAGAAAGCAATTTCCGCTAATGTTGTCATATGCCATGACAATAAATAAAAGCCAGGGCCAAACACTATCTAATGTGGGTTTGTTTTTGAAGAGGCCGGTTTTTAATCATGGTCAAATGTACGTAGCATTGTCAAGAGTTAGTAATCCTAACGGATTAAAAATACTTATCTCAGACGAAAATGTACAATAAAAAAATACGACTACAAATGTCGTATATAAAGAAGTATTCAATAATGTTTAATACATACTATATGTTTTGCAGAAGTATATATATATATATATATTTTTAAGGAATTAATTTATATTAGATGTTTTACATATATTGCCGTGCAACGCACGGGTGGAACTACTAGTATGTCATAGTATAACAACATATATTAGAAGACAGTTATTTAAAAAACCGCCTTCTATTAAGTGACGTAGTATATCATTTCTATAGTAGTGGTTGAAAATTTGATCTTCACTTTCGACTGTTGCAGTAGCTTACTTTGACATGTTGAAAATTTCTCCTTGGTCTATGAACCAAACTTTATTGACTTTTAAAACCTTTCCATATTTGATATGTATCATTCCTGAAACTTGTGTAGAAATTTAAATACAGTTACTTTTGACAATAAGATGTCTTCTTGGTTCAACTTTGCTTGAAAACTTTGCTCTTTAGAAACTCTGATCTATTAAAAAACTTTTCTCTTTAATAATTCTGCTACTCGTGGACTAATTTCCAATAATTTTGCTGCTCATGGACTAGTCTCCACAAATTATACTGCTCATGAGTAAATTCGAAAAACCTTGCTACTCCACGAATTTATTTCAAAAGCTTTGCTGCTCCATATTAATTTTTGAAAACTGATCTTCTCCATGTAAGTAAATTCAAAAAATTCTTGTGCTCATTGATTTTAAAGAACTCTTCATCTCCTTAATTTTTGACTTCTCAAAATCCTTCCTGCTTATTAATTCTTTGGAAACTCTTCTCCTGAAAAACTTTGCTGCTCATCGATAATTTGAAATTCTCTTCACTTTATTTTCGAAAATCTTTTCTCCTTAAAAAAAACTTTTCTACTTCCAGAAATTAATCTAAAAAACTTTGCTGCTTCTTTTAATTTCTCAAATCTTCTAAGAACTTTGCTGCTTCCCGTTCTAAAAACTTTGACGCTTCTTAAATATTTTAAGAACTTTGTTGCTTCTAGAAAACATTTACTGCTCATGAAATCTTCTTGACACTTAAACAATTTTGAGCAAACAATTTACAAAATAAATTTGGAGATACAATTTTTTTTCAGACTAGAAATACATTCTTAGCTCATCAAAATTTATAACATATATATTCCTAAAATTTAAACTTAACTATAAAATGATGTTTTGTAGTTTTATACTTAGTTATCACTAAAAAAGTTTTTAACACCATACACAACACTCTTCTTCAATATGTTTCTATGCTTTTGTTCCCTTGTTATGGAAGCATTAATATAGATCGAATTAAAGATATAATAAATTAGTTATTCAAGAGATATATGGAAATATAAATTATTATAACAATTATATTAACCTCTTAATCATGAAAAAACACATTCCTTACTCTTACGAACTATGCTACCTCTATATTCGGGTATTTTATATGTTCTCACTACTCTAAACTTCATTCCTTTATTTGAACTAAGAGGTTGATTTCACTAACCATTATGAACATTCCACTCATTCAGATACAATCAAAAGATAATATTTTTTGGGTAACAGACTAATAGTTCAATATGTGATTAATATTGTAAGTAAGAGAAAACTTTGAACAAGCAGTATTTATACACTACTTCTGACCAAAAATCAAATTCAAAATTGTGTAATCATTATTTTTTTAGCATGTTTGATTATGTTGTACGTAACTTGTAAAATCAAACAACATATTAGTAAATACTACGGAGTACTAATTAATTGCATGTCAATCAGTTAAATAGTAAAAATTATCATAAAAATGGAAATAATGTTTAATGCAATTTTCTACTTTCTATTTTTTTTTTTTTTTTGAATTTCATTTTTTCACAGTTTTCTCATTCTTTCTTTTGCCATTAGAAAAATGGTATAAAAACATAAAGCGATTTTTTCAGCATTTAATTTTCATATTATTTTTCAAATGAAAAAATAAGTGATTTATTTAAAACTCAATTATTTTATAACGTTCAAGTAATGTTTGTGTAATGTGACAATAGTATCGAGTGGTGCGCTCATGTTGTGCATGCACATTGGACCGGGACGGTTCAAGTAATGCTTGTGAAATGTGACAATAGTATCGAGTGGTGCGCTCATGTTGTGTATACACATTGGACCGGGACAATTTAGATATTCAAAATTTTGAGTGTTGCTTTTTGAGTTTTAAATTAAAATGATTAAGTAATATCCATGGATGACAATGTACAAAATAATATCGGCTACTTGAACCCTAATAGGATGAGTTTGAATAGTTGATAGTCGAGTTTGAAACAAGTTCGAGTAGTTGTGAAATTCTCCTGCCCGACACTCAATTGTGTGTGTAGCATGCGCATGCATTAAATAGGTTCCAAGGTAATTCTGAGTGCTATATGGGTAGTGTCAAACGAGTTTGGAATGGGTACATGCAATAATATTCATTTAAGTTCAGGTAGTTCTAAATGTATTTTGATTCAAAATTTTAAATGGTTATATAAATCTTATGAATAATAGCGGTGATGCAAAGATAAGTAGATATGGGAGGTCGGTGGTGGTAGATATATATGGTTGAGTAAATGATATTAGTTGTGTCCTACTGACTATTCATTGGTCAAACCAACTCTTTATTCTTTGTTTTTGTATTTTTTTAATAATTTTTTATACTTATTTTTTATTTTTTTGTGTGTTTAATAATACTTTTAATATAATTGCTAAATATATAAATTTTGTATATTAATAATAAATTTAATATTATAAAAAAATTATATAAAAAATAACTTCAATCAAACCTCGTTAATTGAACCAGACACATAAAATGAGATGGAGAGTAGTAGATTAATAAACAGAGTTTTTATATATAACGATAATAATGATTATAAATAAAACACATAAAATGAGACGGAGAGTAGTAGATTGATAAACAGAATTTATATATATAATAATAATAGTGATTATAAATAAAGTTATATTAGAATGATAACCAGAATGCCATCACCTGTAAGAGCATCACCATCTGTAGTTATTTTGAAGATAATGTCAGATGAATTCTTCTTGGTTGAAGATAATAACAAATGTGAGAGTGAATGAATTGAGAAATAATTCTCCTGCAACAACCCATATAATGTCAGAATTATTTCAGAATAAAAAAAAAAAAAAAAAAGAAAGATAATGCGCAATTGAGAGTGGCCGCCAGCTGGCGGCCACTCTCAATTTAATTACTTTTGGCTGTTGCTGGCCATAGCAACGGCCAAAGTCCGTTGCCAGCAACGGTCATTTTCCGGCCGTTGCTGGCAACAGATTGTATATATTTTTTTAAATTTTAATTATTGTTTATTTATATTTTGTTCTTTTTTATTTAAGTAATTAATTTTAATTATTATTTTGTTTTGTTTTGTAATTACCTTATAAATTTTTATAGTATAGCCAACTTTTTATTATTTTCTTTTATTTTTTTATTTTATTTTATTTTACAATTCACTATTTTTATTAAAATTATAAATTTATAAATAAAATAGATAAAGAAATTATTAAAATATAATGGGTTAAATGGTGGGTGCATAAAAAACTGAGAAATAACTTAAAACTGATGTGGAGAAGGGTTTTTTGTAATTGAGTGAGGTAATGGATGATGAGGTGGATGTTGGGGCCCACAAATAACTAAGAAATAACCCCAACTGATGCGGATGCTCTAAGGTGGTTGGCCCTGATTTCCTTCTTAATCATTCACTAATCATGAAAAATAATAATAATCATAAATTTTGCAATTTATAGTTTTGTTTTTATTTAATTTTTGGCGCGCTAATGAACAAACTCAACGGCTGGTTCCCCGTTTTATTTTCTTCTCCTCCCATATACCCATTCGCTTTCCCCTTTCTCCAATCCCATCCCTAATTCTTCTTAGGTTTTCCTTCACCTCTCCAGTTTTCCGGCAAATGGACCACCGACGCCATGGACTACCTCCGCCTCGAATCCACCAAGCTCGTCAATCGCTTCAAGCAGTCCCTCATATACGACCGCCAGAAGCCGTGGTGGCAGCAGATTCTCGATCCCAGCAGCGACTTCATCCTTAGATGGAACCACATCTTCCTCGTCTCTTCCCTCGTCGGCCTCTTCATCGACCCCCTCTTCCTCCTCCTCCCTCGGATCCGAAAGAACAGATGTATGAAGGTCGACGACCGTGTTGGGTACTTCCTCATCGGCTTCCGCAGCTTAGCCGACTTGTTCTCTGTTATCCAGATCCTCATGAAATTCCGCACCGCCTTCGTGTCCCGCACTTCCCGGGTCTTCGGCAAGGGGGAGCTTGTGCTTGACAAAAGGAAAATCGGTATCCGGTACCTTAAAACCGACTTCGCAATTGATCTCGCCGCCACTCTCCCTCTCCCTCAAGTAAGTGCTTTACGAAAGTTCTTTCAGTAGAAAACAATTTTTTTTTTTAATCATGTACTATCGTATATATGCTTATAATTTGTACTGATTACAACTTAAATAGTGCATTTCTTCTGAAGAGATGTTGCTGGAAACCCGCATAAGTATGAGATTGTTTGTATGGTGTTTTCTAGGGGGCTGTTAGTTGACAATAAATTTATAGCACTGTGCGTGGAATTGCTCTGCTGTGTGGGAATTCTAATGATTTTCTCTAGTGTTTATTTTCTTCACCTACTAAAGGTTCTTCTTCTTTTTCTTTTTTAATAAATAAAATTCATAGTATAGGTTGATGGATGGAAGAAGTAACAGAAAACACAGAATTTTACTTGGTCCATGCACCAGTAGGTCTCTGCTTTGAAAGATGACTACTGGCCATTCTGCTAAGAGAACACATAGTGTGAGAGTAGGATTTGCAAGTTAGAGAACATAGTTTAATGATGGATGTCTAGATATGCAATTGACTTGGTGATAATTGTTTCATTTGGTTTTCTACCTTTGAGACGACATGTCTTGGACAAGGGCTTGGCTTCTACTCCTCTTTTGATCCTTGTGGAGCTATCAATGGGGCAAGCTACTAACTGTCTGAGAGGAATGAGGACCTAGCCTGGTTTTATAATATTCTAAAGGACCCTCCCATTACTAGTCTTAATATAATTCCGGCCTAATCTCACTACCAATAGTCCAATACTAATTTCTATTTCTCTTTCTCTTTCTCTTATCAGTGAAGATTGATTTTTCTATAATAATACTTGAAAAAAAAATTTAAGTGCTCAAGTTTTTGTAAGAGAACACTATTGCTCTAATCAAGCAAATCTTTTTCAATTACTTTATGTAAAAATTTGACTCTATATATAGTGTATTGGACTAGAGATGAAAACTACGTATTAGCTTTAAACAACTGGAAACAATTAGAAATGTGATAACCCACATTTTGTTTCACTGAGATATTGGGAAGTGGATGCTGAGAACCCTTACGTATAAAAAAGGTTTGGGCTTTATATATATATATATATATATATATATATATATATATATATATACACACACATTAGTAAAGTG